TTTTAAATAATCTTTCATTCTACAAATAAAAAAAGAAACCAAAAATAGTGTACATTTCTTTTGAATGACGAGAATAAAATATTTTAAACAATTTCGTTGAAAGGTAATTAATCATCGTTAAAAGCAATTAAGCAGTCTAGTCTTAATAAATGTAACAAGGTACTTAAGTTTATAAATAAGCAAATGGCAGGAAAATCCGTCCATAAATAACTGTACAAGCTATTCGAAGAAAACTTGAAAGCATGATTTCATTACATAGAAGTTTCTGATTTTTCTTTTTATAAAAGTAAATCTAGGTAGGTACTATAACCAGGCCTGCTCATCTCCGCAAGTTTACATCGAAAATAAAACACGCACGATGGCCCCCTACAGGATTACTATTCGACAAGGCCTCACAAACGAGCGAACATTGACTCACGCACGCGTATTCTTGTGTATGATGGAAAAAAATATAGAAAATGGTGTACTAAATGCTGTGCAGTATTAAACTGTGTGACACCGTGATAAAATCTTATCGATGATTTCAGACGACAAACGTATGGGCTTATCGCGTAATATCGATAAATGGCGCGATAAAAGCTTATCGCGGAATCCTTGGCCTAAGGAAAGCGTGAATATTTTTCAATTGTTTCGTAACTTGTCCATTCCTTCCTAGCTCTTGATAAACCGATTATTGTAGCGAATGACAGGGCTCGCGTCGAATACCATTTGAGAGGTATGAAGATGGTTACTAAGATTTTCAATAAACAACTAAGTTTATGGTCACTGGCTATTATACATTTATAGAGATATTATGTAACAATGTTATATTTATTGCATTGGGAATACCCACAACAATATTAATTTCTTGAAAGATACTTTAGCACTAAAAGTGTTTAAATCCCATGTATTATTAGACAAATCCACTATGAACTCAAACCATGAAATAGCCTTAGACCATAAGGTCACCCAACCTTAATGACAAAACATTTTCAAAAACCTAGTATTGTCATATGAATAGCTTGATGGCGGCAGCACTAAACACATTTTCGCCAAAAACTTTGCAGTAGTTAATTTTGTGTAAAATATTATCAAACTCAGCATGGAATACATTTAGTGTGTGTATAAGCGAATTGTATAATTGTAATTCCTTCTTTATATTTGCATGTATCAAATATCACACAAAAAGCAGAATGTAAATATACAAAAAGGCTGTCACATCTGAAGCACAAAATATAACAGAAGACAAACTCCATACTAAACGCGCTCGAGCCACGCACACATAGACACCGCTCCTAGCAAGACTGTCTTGGACGAATACGAGCGCGACGTGGCGCGACAGACGTTCGCCACACGTTCGCTGTGGTTTGCTTGAGTCACGCGCCGGTCAACCGCCTGTGATATTATTTTGTTTTGCGAAATTGACGAAAATGAGTGAACAGAAAAAGTCGTATTATAATTGTTCGGTATTTGGTTGCTTAAACTCATAAATAAATACCGAATTTTCATTTTTTAAATTACCAGTTGATTCGGGGAGGTAAGTAAGTTATTTATTTGAATTTCAATTGAAATTGAAAGCCAACTCAATTATTAGGAATATCGAATTGTTTTAGAGAGGTTTTAGGAATTATTGGATAACTAGCTTTTGCCCGCGGCTTCACCCGCGTGAAATTTAGTTTGTCACAGATCGTCATAAATTATAGCTTAGTCAATATTTTATGTAAAACGTTAAAGATTTCCTGGCCTGGACTTGGTATTACATGGATCTCACAACTTTTTACCGTAGAACAACTGAGTTGCGAGACTTGGTTTTTTTGACAAGTATTGTTTTTGATGGGATTGACTTATCTGTTAAATATTCCTGCACTGTGTAATAACATTTGCTAACCAATAATTTAAATAAGCGTGTCTTAAATGCTCGAATAGGCAGTGTTTTTATTTCATCTGGCAATTTATTAAAAATTCGTACTGCCATTGGATAGCAGTTGTCACTTTGCAAGGATGTGAGCATTACAGGCAGTGTCAGTTTGTTTGGATAGCGTCCACGATAATTTGTATTTACTTCACTATTGCTTCTGTATACATCCATTCACTAAACCAACTACTAGTCGATTCGGATCCCATCAACGTACCACGTTTAAATCGTCCAAGTTATCCACTTAAAACGCAAAATGTCCATTAAACGAACCGATCGTTTTCGAGCAATTATGAATAATACCTTTATCGTTTTCATACATTTAAAAGCTATCGGAGATTAAATTCACCACTTGCCTAATTGATATTGTGGCATCAAAGGGCGCTAATTAATTTAATACCTCAGACGCCAAAGGAACATGGTGAACAGAGTAATTATTTCAGATTTGGGGCTAATGTTGTTCAATTGAAATTGTATCAGAAATAAGCAGGTTTTTTATATACATAAAGGCGTATTTGGTGTCTCAAGCAATTTTGTATTTGAATGAAATAAATAAGGTTATAACCCTTTGAAATAATTTCAAACTAAATCTCTACGTGTACAGTTTATTAAAAAGCTCATAAAAACTAATAAAACTAATTTATTTTTTAAGTAGGCTTTTAAAAAACACTTTTACACGTCCCAGTATTAACCCTACCACTGTTTCGTCGGGACAATAAATGGGCCAGTGCTGAGAAGAAGCAGCGCCAGAAACTCAGTCACTATTGTCAGCCTATTTTCATCATATTATCTGGGGNGGCGACGAGGCCCAGAACCAGATCACAAAATCGAGAGAATAAAATCAAAGAAGTTAAAGAATCTTCCAAAATCACGGAGCACAAAATGGCGGTGTGCGGCGACATAAAATCGTTCGCCGGTGAAAAATGGGACGTCTTCGCGGAACAACTGGACTGTTTCATGATAGTCAATGACATTCCAAACGAAAAGAAAGTGCCACTGTTAATAACAAAATTAGCACCGGAGGTATTTGAAATCCTGCAGTGTCTATGTAGCCCTGTCAAACCAAACAAACTATCCTATGAAGAACTATGTTCAAAGTTGAAAGAAAAGTATGAAAAACCAATATCTACGGCTGTTGAAAGGGCTGAGTTTAGGCGACGTAACCAGTTACCTAATGAAAAAATACAGGACTATGTACTGCATCTGAAAAGATTGGCTATAAAGTGCAACTTCAAAGACACAGATGATCAAATCAAGGAAAAATTCATGGATGGCGTTACATCAAAGGTTATTAAATACGAATTAATGAAAAATGCAGACAACAGGTCACTAGAAAGCTGTATCGAATGTGCTAGAAATATAGAAGCAGCCCTGATGCACAGTGACCCTTCACCTGAAACCTCAGAAGTATTTTACAATAAACAAAAGGATCNAGCGAGGGTACATACATGAGTTTACCTTCTGTTATATTTTGTGTCTGAAGCCTGATGCGGCTAACGGTAAAAGCACAAATACAAATACAGGAACTTTTTTTCTTTTGAATTGAACTAGAAAAAATGATTGTATAGCAGATGATAGACCGTGTGCGAGTTCTTATTTTTCTTTCACGTTGTATTCCACACTCCAATCCCTTACCAATGCAATACAACCCTATAGTATTTTGATTTCAATCTTTAACCCAGCCTAACGGGATTTCAACCCTCTTTAGGCTGAGTTAATCTTACTTTAGCTTTAACAAACGTCAAAAATCTGTCAAAATCCATAAAAAAATACATACATATAAATCATTGTTATAGTCACGGTCAAAGTAAGCAGGTGTAAGACAGTCTTACACTTTTCTTTCTTGAAGGCCCAGTATGCAAATAAAACAATAAGCATAGCAGTGAGTCATGGTCTGAAGTCTCTGCATCACGGTATGTACGTGACGGCTTGAGTTACGTACAGCGAGACCAAAATACATTACGATTAAGTATAAATAAAATAATTTCAATTGCTTACTTGCTTCTGTATAATATTTTTCTATAACTTTTCGTTCACAAGGCTTATGTGGTGTCTAAGTTTGCTCGTGTCTAACACAGATAGGGAAATACGAGTGATATTCGTTGCTCGGTAGGCCTTTTATACAAGAATTCAAATGAATATAATGTGAAAAAGAGATTCGAAGTGACTGAATAAGTAGTGTAAGTTGTAATCAACTTACGTAGATAGATATTGTAAAGTTTTGTGAGATATCTACTTTATCACATCACAACTAGCTACAGGTCAGGGTATTCCGTCTTGTCGAATAATCATATTGAATTAAGTCTGTACACCTCTACCTAACATGGAAATTTAACTCATCAAAATGAGTCAAGTTAAAACTTCTGAATGTACAAATGATCAAAACTATTTCCTAATCATCTTCATCGTATCAGCCAATCAGTAATCAATAGTACACTGCTGGCTGAATGCCTTCCTATAATCACGATTTCACTTTTAACATCCAGCTTTTGTAGCAACGGCAATGTCTTTGGGACAGGATTACGTCCAGTGAAAATTGAAGCTAAATAATATCGTAAAACATTTTCAAATTCAAGTCAACCGTCATAAACTATTGAAGGTGTACTCAGGCGCCACAAACGGCTCTAGCTGTTCAAACAGCGATACAACTACCCTCAGATTTGTAGCCGGATTTATTGAAACACTACGTTTTAAAGCCACGGACTTTACGGCAAACGTGCATCGACACACGGCTAAAGGGAATTCAAAAATATTGACAACTCTCCACTCCTTTAGACTGGGCAAAAGACATTAAAATATATTGGGAAAAGTTTGCTTGGTTTTATTTTGTAGTTTTATTTATTGAGCTCTGTAAATGTGTCAAAATGATAAAATAGTTTATGTAGGTATGTACGAGTATAACAAATAATGATTTACTTACTACATTAAAATAATGTGATTTCTTGGACACCATGCCATAGGTAAATCCTATAGGTAAAAATGTTTGAAATATACATTTACATCTTTAAACCCATCTCTAGCTCATGTATAAAAAAAATCCTACCTCTCGATCCCCCTACTGCAACTCAGGATCTACAGCTTGACCGCTGTGAGAAACGAAACCAAAGGACAAAACAACAAACAACAACCAAAGGACAGAAAAGTTACAGACAAAGGAACCAGCAGTGTTATTGTTGTGGTAAAAATAACCACTTGAAAGCGGAGTGTTCTCTAAGAAATAAATATTGCTCGGAATGTGGTCAACAAGGACACATATTCAGAATGTGTGAAAGAAAGCAACGAAAAACCAACATTTTGGAACTGGAGACTTCAAAGCCTATAGAAGAAAATGAGGAGGCAATAGATTCTATTAAAAATCTATATGAAGAATATGAGACATATACCTTTAATAGTGTAAGTAAAATACCACCACACTTTATAACCTTAAATGTGAATAGTCAAAATATACCATTCCAACTTGACACAGGTTCTGATGTTACTGTCATTCCATTATGTGATAAAAACAAATTCTTACCAGACTATGCGTTACAAAGTTGTAAAATATTGTTTAAAAATTTTGATCAAAGTGTGTCACAACCATTAGGATTAATTTCAAATATACCTGTAATGTTTAATCAGGAATGTAAACATTTGAATGTATTTGTTGTACAAAACAATTGTCCTCGAATCATAGGTCGTGATTGGTTGCAACAATTAAAATTGTGGCCTCCTAAAATAAACAATGACCTGTATTTTGGAATTAACAAGGTACAATCTGTTTCAGACGCACAACAAATCATAAAGAGCCAGTTCGCAGAAGTATTTAGCCCTGGTTGGGGAAATTTTAAGGGTAAAGAAATTAGCTTAAAACTTAAACCTGATTCAAAACCTATATGCCTGCCAGTTCGTCGAGTACCATTTGCTCTTCGGGAAAAAGTAAATAATGAAATTAAAAGGCTCTTGGAACACGATAGAATTGAACCAGTTGAACAAAGTGAATGGGGTACACCAGTGGTTCCTATCCTTAAACCAGACGGATCGGTAAGACTTTGTGGGGATTATAAACTTACAGTTAACAAATGTTTAGAAGTCGATCACTTTCCTTTACCTCATGTAGAAGATATATTGAATTCTTTAAAACACGGGGAATATTACTGCGAACTAGATCTCAAAGAAGCGTATTTACAGGCACGTCTTAGTCCTGAAAGCCAAAACTGTACAACTATTGTAACAGAGGTAGGAACATATAAATATAAATATTTACCATATGGTGTAAGCACAGGGCCAGGATCATTTCAACGACTGATGACAAATAAGTTGCTTAATATACCAAACACTGTTGTATTCATTGATAATATCTATATAAAAGGAAAAAATTTACAACAAACATATGATACACTATGTGCAGTATTGACAAAATTACAAGAGTGTGAATTCAAACTTAAAATTGATAAATGTAAATTATTTACAAATAATATAGAAGTTTTTGGTTATAATGTAAACAAAAATGGAATCAGCATAATTAAGTCAAATGTTAAACCTTTGATTAATGCCAAACCACCAACTAGTTTAACCATGCTGAAATCATTTTTGGGAAAAATTAACTATTATAATCGTTTTTTAAAGGACATGGCTACTGTAATAGCACCTTTATATGATTGTACTAAGAAAAATAAATTTATTTGGAGTTCAGAATGTGAAAATGCATTTAATAACATAAAAAAAAGACTGGCTAATGCCAATAATTTACGACATTATGACCCACAGTTGCCCATAATATTAACTTGTGATGCGTCAGATATTGGTTTGGGTGCGGTGTTGTCAAGTAGAGATGTTGATGGTATTGTCAAACCCATTGCATTCGCTAGTAAAAAATTAAATGATGTAGAACAAAGATATTCTACCATTGATAAAGAGGCTATGGCTATCATTTTTGGTATAACAAAATTTTATAATTATATTTACGGTCGACATTTTGAACTTGAAACAGATAATGCTGCTCTAACGCGAATATTAGGACCTACCAAAGGAATACCAAAAATGGCAGCCAAGCGGTTGCAACATTACGCTATTTTTATGTCAGCATTTAACTATAAAGTACGTCACATTAAATCCACTGAGAACCCAGCTGATTATCTATCACGCACGGCAACCAAAACAGAAAATATAAAACATGTTAATTCATTATGTGTAGATGAAGTATTAAGTTATGAATGTTATGTAAATGATTCCAAAATCGGCACTATAAACTGGAAAATGATACAACAAGAAATTAACAAAGATTTAAGTCTAACTAAGTTGGTTAGGTATATGGCAGATGGGTGGCCAGTCAAGAAAATGATCCCAAAGGAGCTTTTACCATTTTACAATAGAAAGGAAGAACTTTCACTTGATAGAGGATGTGTATTTTGGGGCTACCGCATTATAATCCCATGCACACTTAGAGAACATGTCTTAAAATATTTACATAAAAGCCATTTTGGAATCATACGTATGAAAGAGATAGCCCGCTCATATTTCTGGTGGCCTAGTCTAGATGCAGAGATAGAAAATATTACTAAAAACTGCCTTGTTTGTCTGCAAAATAGTAAAACACCCTCAAAAATTCAGAAACCATGGCCTCTGCCCCCCTCCTCTTGGTATAGAATTCATGCCGACTTTCTAGGCCCATTCTATAATAAAATGTATTTGGTTGTGGTCGACAGTTACTCAAAATGGCCGGAAGCTTTTGAAATGGCAAATATTACATCAACGCGCACTATAGAGATATTCAAGTCGCTATTTTCAAGATTTGGGTTACCAGTACATTTAGTTACAGATAATGGAAGAACCTTTACTAGTAATGAGTTTCAGGAATTTTGTAAAGAGAATCAAATTAGGCACACATTTACACCACCTTACCATCCAGCCACAAATGGCGCAGCTGAAAGATTTGTTGACACCTTTAAATCAGCAGTAACTAAAATTAAAGAAAGTGGCTATAATTTATCATCAGCAGTCAATTTGTTTCTGTCGGATTATAGAAATTCACCCCAGCGCACTACGGGAGTGGCGCCAGCTAGAATTATGTTAGGGAGAGAAATCCGAAACCGATTTAGTCTATTGCGACCGCCCCCATTGGAAGAGGTAGTCAGGGAAAATGTTGACAAACGGCACCAAGGAAATCGGCAGATTCAATTTCAAGTAGGACAAAAAGTAATGGTTAAAGACTATAGGAGGGGAGCTAAGCCATGGACTCTAGGATTGGTGTTAGAGGAGTGTGTACCAGGTATGACCTATATCATAGATGTAGAAGGAGCTCAGTGGAAAAGGCATGTTAATCAAATGTTGCACTGCTCACAGGAATTAGAGTTACAGTGAGGCTAATTCCTGTGAACAGTGGCTCTAGTAAAACTAAATAAGTGATTTTCATATATAAGTTTATTCATTAGAATAAGTGTGGGAGAGTGTGAGAAACGAAACGTTTTCAGCTTCGGTCTTGCCCGCCCCTCTCCCCTCTCGCTCTGCGGTGTACGCGTCGTTTGCATAAAAATAATGTGATTGTTTGTAATGGTGTTAAAGGTAATAAAAAGCCGTACCATTAAATGTGGGTTTTATTGAAATACGTCAATAAGTATTATTGAAATACGCAGTTTTATTAAACCTACAATTGACTGGTTGTTCTTGAATCAACGTTTTCCAAGTGGCAATTTTCCATCGTCAATGGGTAGCGGTTCTGGCAACAGATTGGTGCAATGGTGTCATGAAGCACCTGGTTTTATACCCTTCAACGGCCAAGTCACACAACATTAACTATAATAATAAAGAGATCGCAGTAAGGAACCATAGACTTGGCACGACTTTGTCTAGATTTCATTACTTTTTAGAGATAAACAAGCAGCTCCATCGAGACTTGGCTAGTTTTTTACAGAATGTTTTTGGTGGGATTACATCTAACACCTATCATACTGGCATATGCTTAAATCGAAAAAAATATCAAATATAAGTTTTTCAATTGAAAATGGTTTTATAAAACAGAAACTAAGCTTTCTTATTCAGCTTTTGTACGTAAAATAAATTCAGAAAAGAACTTGATAAGATGGAATCGTTTTGGTTCAATACTTCTTATCGCATTTGTCCCCATCAACGAGTGGAATCCACCCTAAATGCTTTTCGAATTAAGAAAATTGGGGTTATTACAGGTTCATTTCAAATTAAAATCGAAATCGAAACCTTTAAATAACATAACGTGAAACGTGTTTACTTACCTTAAATGGAATATGCGTAATTCTAAAAATAATCATTCTATTTTTACGTCTTATCCTGAAAATCCTTATCTTATCCTTACAAAGCACACTTATTAACCCGAAAACGGACCGTTACCGTATCAACTCGAGGTGGTCAGTATTATTTGTATGAACGCACACTATCCGCACCGCAACGTAAACGTTTCGCCTCACGGTCGACAGCGCGGGCGGTTAATCCCATTCTGGGTTGATAAGTGTGCCTTTAATAAAAATAATAAAAAAGACACTGAATTTCATTAAGGGCAATCAAAATTAAAATGCATGAATCAATCCACCCCAAACAAAACCTTAGCATTAGCAAATTAAACGATCAACTAACCAAATGAATTCTCAAGAATTTGGACCGTGGTTTTCCTTAATAAATAATTCATTGTGGCCAAGAAAACTCAAAATGTACGCACATTTTGGGTTCCGTAGCTAATTACGGGACGCATTATTAAAGCAAGGCTATTGAGATTAACGCGGGGGTCCTAATTGCAAAACTTGTGTGAGGAGAAAATAAAAACAAATGTAGTTGGTAATTTCCTTTGGGAGGGCGGATTTGAAACGATTGTATTCGCTGGGTGCGAAGTACTAGGTGGGGGGGACATAATCTATCGCAGCGCTCATGGTGGTCAAAAGTAGAAATAATGTAAGCTCTGTCATCAGATGTATCTGTCAATGGCAAAGCGATTCTACATAATACATTTTAATATCATTAATTAATCGCATGAAAAGGGTCCTACTGGGAACTTAAATAAAAGAGTGGACTGTATTTTGATAGGGCTGNCGTCGTTTGCATAAAGTTAATGTGATTGTTTGTAATGGTGTTAAAGGTAATAAAAAGCCGTACCATTAAATGTGGGTTTTATTGAAATACGTCAACCGCCATAAAAACCCAACCAATAAAGGTCAAGTTCGTCCCGGGGGAAAGTTAAACTGTCATTGGACCCGCAACGAAATTAATCAGAAGAACATAGGAGGAGTTCGAAATTAAGACTTCCCTCCATTGCAAACCGGATGACAGGTGACAAACAAAGGTTTAATATCTTCTATAAAAAGATATGCAATAATATGCATAGCTCATGTATAATGAACAGACAGGCATTCTCAATAATATTGGCCAGTTTCACCAAATTGTTATTGAAAACATCAATAACTAAGTAGCTATTTAAGTATTCACCAATACAATGAAGTGTGGAATTGCATGCATAATCAGGTAGTTAAATTCACTGAGATACGAGTATGAATAAATATCAATTATCTAGTCTTTAAGACCCAAGCTACACCGCAAACAACTTCTTAGCACATCGAGTTTCATAAACCTCGCATGTGTGGCAAGTTGGGCTAGATCATAGACTGCATGTGCTTATTATAACCTAGAGTACCTACTATCGTTGCGCTATTATTGTCCAAGAAGACATCGTCAGTCAGCCATAAAGTAGTTCAATCGGTGAGCCATTGGCAAAATTCTAAAATCAATTAAATCCAAGTCTTTATTAATAAAATGTTATAAATCTATAAACATCTTGTACCGCATTGAACTTGGAAAACGACAAAGTTTTGAGTCTGTTTTAAGCTAATTATGTTTCCCTTTAAAAAAGTAGCTACTTACTACCTATTTACGAGTTCGTTCGTTTCAGCCAAATGACGTCCACTGCTGGTCAAAGGCCTCCGCCACGGTTTTCCACAGTGAACGGTCCTGCGCTGCCCGCATCCAGGCTCTTCCCGAGTACCTAATAGTACTTACTAGTACCTAAAGTTATTTTTGCTATTCAGATAGACTTGCTTATCATAAACTTAGCTCCGTCTGTGTAACTTAACGTGCAGGATAGATGTTAGCACCTAGTAAACCCCCAGTTTATGTGGCTTGGGCCTTAATATTCGAACTAAACATGTTTGCAGACATGTCCCGTGTTTACTCCTACTCGTATCTGAAGGAACGATCAGCAACTTAACTTGTTACGAGTTAGAGCCCATGACTTAGGGACTACCTAACCGGATAGTACGATAGAAACCTGCAATAGTGGATATAAATAGTACGTATAAGGAACAAGCAATGGGAAATATTTTCATCTTTTTTATTCTTCTTCTACTTCTTTACGTGTCGACAACAAACCTACACAGTGTCAGGACAAAACTCCGCTACAAGAGTGGCGTTGTCAGCAGCATTCATTAAATCCTCCTGCGTGCAGTTGCTCGGGCACTCAGGGCACGACATCATGTGCTTCATCGACTGGGGAATATAACTGCTGGAATCTTTTTTGATCAACTATTCTTCGGGTTCTTTTAGTATATTTTTCTTTATTACTTTCAGAGTTACAATATAAAACATTACAAGGAAGATATTTCCTTTCAACATTTTTAACGTTTTATTCAAATAAATTTCCTTAAATCCTTTAACCTTAAGCAACTGATGACTTGAAAAATATTTTCAACCGACTTCAAAAAAAAGGAGGAGGTTCTCAATTCGACCCGTATGTTTTTTTTTTCTATGTTTGTTACGCGATAACTCCGCCAATTATGAACCGATTTGAACAAATCTTTTTTCGGCGTATAGGTAATACCTCAAGGGTGGTTCCATTTAAATTTAATAATAGAAAAACCAACCCCCAAGGGTGGAAAATTGGGGATGAACTTTTTTATACGCAATATCTCCGCCGATTATAAATCAATTTGAACGATTATTTTTTTGTTGAATAGGTATTATCAAAAGGGTGGTTTCATGCGAATTTGAAGAAAATATTTCACCCCCAAGGGTGGAAAATTGGGGATGAACTTTTTTATACGCAATTTTTAGTTTTTTTTTTTTTTGTTCACGCATTTGAAGTCGGTTTTATTTTTTAAAAAAGTTAATTCAGTGCGTGTACTTGTTAACCCTTAAATAACCAATTCACCCACGCAACACGTTTATCCTCGGATGAAAAAACATATTTCTATATTCTAATATTTACCCTGGGTTGCACTATTTTACTGTAACTAACAAAAGTCTGCCAAACTCCATGCAAAAACGTTAAAGTTAAATTGATGCAACTCGGCCGAAGTGATTTGGGAGATAGAGATTATATGAAGGGAGAAAACATGTAAGGAACCCTAAAAAAACACGGACTTCTTCCCTTGCCTTAAGCTCCGCAATAAGCGCCGCTTGTCAAGGGACGTGACTTAACCGTTATTTGTGAAGGCTCTCACTAACCCGCGCCTAAGTAAATTCCTAGGTGATGTTTACTATGAAATTAAGTTCATTTCTGTGTATGCACAAAGGTTATTATGTTCCTGGAACATCTCATTAAGAGTATACTGACACCGAGGTAGGTATAAGTATAAGACGCTTGATAGTTTGTATGAACTAGAGCTAGAAGTTATAGCCACTTTAAACTTTCCTAATGTAAGGTTTTTTTAAAGTCACGGGATTCATCATGCAACTACGCTAAGGATGGGTTGCACCATCTTCGTTCGTTCGTTCGTTTCAACCAAATGACGTCCACTGCTGGACAAAGGCCTCCCCCAAGGATTTCCATAACGACCGATCCTGCGTTGCCCGCATCCAGGCGCTTGCTCTTGCACCATCTTACTTTGACTATAACAAACATTAAAAGTCTGTCAAACTCCATACAAAAAAGCCTTGGGCAGACCAAACGCGGGGCAGCAGCAGCGCAGTTTGAATGCGGGCCCGCGCAAGTTGTAATACAAGAAACTCTTTGAAGTATGTCACACCAAATTTGAACGCGGGCCCGCGCTCCAACCGCGCCGCACTGCAACTATCGAAATACAATAGACGCGGGTGCGGGACAGAAGCGACGCGAACGCGGGCCCGCGCTGTTGTATTACTATGGCGGCCATATTAGCATGCATGACACACCGGACGCAGGGCGTTGAAAGCGGTTTTCGAATATTTAAATTTTTGACAACCGCCCGTGTTGCAAGTGCTTTGAAAATGCGCTGCTTTCAGTGTGCCTCAGCCGCGCCGCAAGTGACCCCGCACTGCTTCTGACCCGCGTTTGGTCTGTGGGAGCCTTTATTGTTGTTGTTACAGTTAAAGTAAAGTGGTGCTACTCAGCCTAAATGTAGCTTCATCTAAGAGATAGTACAGTCGATAGCACATCGAATAATATTAATATTTATCTTGGTGCCTCAGAACAAGGAGAGCCGACCCTAAATAATGGACTAAAGGACTAGGGCAAAGAAGAAGTTTCAAATTAGCACCCATAGCGTCTGTAATCACAGTACCTGGCTTCTCGTGATTAATATCATACAAATACACACATTTTGACAGCTGTGAACTTCTAAAGAATGTGATGCAATATT